CCCCAAAACCCCAAAACCCCAAAACCCCTTTTAGAGTATAAGAGATAGATATATCCCTATTTGTTAATAATATTAATAAAAATGACTGATTTTATTAAGAATTGGATCCATTGTTGTATGAAAAGGGGAAGAACAACTATTAAAAATGATGATAAGAAGATGGGTAACAAGGATTTTACAGTACTGCATTTCGAACATTTTTATAGTTTTTCAAAAACTTTGAAGAATTTGACAAGCGAATTAGGATAAAAGAGAACGTGGAAAAGGTATTCTTTGGCTAACTCTTAGACTATTCTATCAACATTAATCCTTAAGATCGAGAATGCTACATACAAGTCGACTCTTAAGTCTAAGAGTTTGGAGGAAATCCTTATATCTTCCACACAGACTGAGGATAAGGTCCCAAAATATGCTAAATAATGTGCTCAAGTTTCTGAATACACCACATATGGTTTGCCAAGGGCTGGTGGAGTCTGATCTTGACTTATTGATAGCCCTTAGAGTGACATGATTTATATAATTCTTTTCACCCAATGCAAGGAACAAAAGAAGATTAAGTACTTCATCCGGTGTGCTGAACAACAAAGTGACCATGAAGTTTCCTTCGAAGACACTGAGTACTCTAGCGAGGTGGTTTTCTATAATAAAGACAAAAAGTTGCTAAAAGTTATGGCTGAAATATATGCTTCTGCGATAATCCCCTTCATCCAGATTACCAAGCAAGACTTGAAGATGTATAAGGATTTCAGAGATTTTGAGCTTGCGGCGACTACAAACCCTCAAATTTTCCATGACTTCTCGAAATTCATGGCTTGTGAGTACCTTTTTGAAAGAGACTCAGTTTCAGAATACAGTGGTAATCACACCAAATTTATTAATACGTAGGATCAAGTAAAAGAATTTTGAACAAGAAGGAATTCGGAGAGCTGCTCTTAATCAAGTACAAATATGTCTTTGAACCCAGAATTATTAGAAGGAAGTTCACTGAGTTCGTGGATTCCCATGAATTTCAGGCATTTCGTAACCCAACAATTTTCGGTGATCCTTCCATTGTTCCAGACTCAGAACAGATGTCTATCAGAAGTAAGTACCTAAATTTTGAGAGAATTACAACTTCAATGGCTCACCATGCGTAGATACTATCGATGGGGAGTACCTCAAAGGTCCCTTCTACAAGGATAACAATGTTCATGACATTCCAATCCCGAAGTCAGGTAAAAACAGTGAACTCCTCGATCAGGATTTCCCAAAAAGGCGTGAAAGAGTGGATAAATTCAAAGCAAATAGATCAGGTAAGCTTTAGCATTAGTGGTTTTCACTATCCATATAAGACAAGAAAAGTAAAGAGAAGAAGGCACAGTATCAAGAAGGAGGATCAGGATCGGCAGCTTGTTTAGATAGTAATAAAATTTTACATAATTATTAGACTCCAGCGAATCAGAAGACCCAAAAAGTAGCAAAACAAGATATAGAGCAGATGATACAATTAATTTATTCAGAAAATCAAATCTCTCCTTTGTCGGAGTGACTAAGGATTATAAAAATGAAGATGAGTTTATCAAAGATTTAAAGAGACGTTATGGCTCTAAACTTATTGCCTTATTCAAAACTCTCTTTGATGTTAGCATCATAGAAGGCAAATATAAATGCGACTATAGAGCCTGTAAAATTCCATACATAAAATCAGACTCTTTTAACAGCTCTGAGGAAGAAAGGAAAGACTCAAAAAGATGTAACCAGGAGTTTAATCACTCATTCAAATTCCTGAAGATGGCAGCAGTTGAGGAGAGTAGTTCTAGTTTGATTACTGGCCAAAACTACCTTAAGAAAGTAATCACAAACAATACGATTCCAAAGGATTTTCAGAAGTTCTATAATAACACCTACAATGGCTCTGGAATCTTGAACTGTTACTTACGCATCCTTGAGGTCTATTATGAACTTCGTTATGAAAATCTAGATTACATGAATTTCGCCAAAAACCACAAGAAAATCAAATTCTTTGAAACCTGAATTTTCTCTGAACTAAGAAAAGAGCATAGCACAGGGGAGATTTCCCAAAATTTAGATGAGGAACTGCAGGACTGCAAGGACTATGACTATCTGATAATCCCTATTACGGTATTGGTGCTGATAATTCTGTAGAAAAGGCAAGTCCCTTACTTATTCATCGTGGATCAGTCTAAGAGCCAACTCAGAGTAATCCTATACTATATCGAAACAAGCATAAAATCTGACTATGAAGGTAGACCTTTTGAATTAAATTACAGAACGAATGACTGAACTAAGTGGGATTATCCTCACCCTTCTTAAGCCAAGAGAGCTTCCAGACTCTAGTAATGAGAAGACTGGTTCTAAATCTATGAAAGAGTTTAATGAGCAAAATGTCACAGGTCAAAGTGTCAAGTAAGCAGAACAATCCTTTCAGTGGAAACTTTTATCTCATTTTTCACAAAATTAACCATATTTTAGGGTCCAAAGCCTAGCCCAAATGGTAAGTTAGATGCATAACCCCCTAGTGCGAAGTCGTTGAGAAAGTAGTCATGGGTGATAAAAGAAAACTCAGTAAGATGAATGAGGAAGAAGTCAGACATAAAATCATTGATGTGATCCTGTCTGTTTATTTATTGTGATAAACCCAAAAATGGCAATATTCGTTAATGAGAGTATTTATATTGAGAATCAATATCTTAAGTAAAAGTCGGGGTTTTGGGGTTTTGGGGTTTTGGGGTTTTGGGGTTTTGGGG